ACGTGCCATTCGTTGGATCCGCCAGCCGGTTGTACATGAAAAATGCAAATCATAGGATTTTGTTGGCCTAACATGTGATTGTCAAACCAAAGATCACATGCACAGGCATTCCAGTCTAAACATGCATCGTTATACATCCTGGAAGCTTCTTCACTTTTTTGTTTTATTATTATTATTTCTTTTTTAAGGTTTAATTTCACACTAGTCTTCCAAGTTATTGTTAATTTTATTTAATTTTTAAATTATCAATTTAATTCAGTTCATATTATTTAATTAGAGACAATCCGTCCAAATTAATAATGATAAAAATCTAATTCGATGGGTAAAAATATGAATCATACAACTAAACAATCATTTTCTGACTAATACTATATTAGACAATTTATAGCCTACAACCAAACCTCCATTAAAATAGTGAATAAAAAAATAAGTGTTCAGTTGAATCGTTTAAAATGTTCAAAATTTGAAATGAAACTTTTGTTAATCAAATAGGATCGTAATCCTTGGTGTTTATGCGGAGATTTCAATGAGATAAAAAGTGTAGGTGAAAAGAAGGGTTGTTTTAGAAGAGATAAAGGCATGGGAGAGTTCAATGAATTTATCGAACAATGTGAAGTAATTGACATACCATTATTTTGTTAATCAAATAGGATCGTAACACTACTGTCTCTAATGGGACTACAATAGCTAAAATTAGAAACTTAAGAGAGCAAATAAATAAAATTAATAATTTAAAAATAGAATATAAAAAACAATGATAATTTAGGAGATAAAAAAAATTAACCCTTTTTTCTTGAAATTCATGTGTCATTATTCTATTTATTTTTCATTATATGGTAAATAATGCAAGCCACTTATACTTTTCCACTTGGATTAACTTTCCTTCAAAATTTATCCCACAAAAAATACGTAATTTCACAAGAATCTTGAAATACTTTTCCATAAATTTTTTTGTGACAAATGAATGATTAAAAGTTAATTTTTCCTTTAACATAAACGCACACGAAATGTTGAATAAATAGAGGAGGCATACAAGTTCATGTTTTGGTCACACTTGCTACTATTTGTGGGATGGACTTAATCTCGTGTTAGGGGCTTTCATATAGTTCATGTGATTTGTTTAATCAAACAAAATACCAATTAATGACTAAACCTCAAAAACCCTAACAAGAGATAGTAATAATAAATACTTCACAAATCTACTTAAAAGAGCATCTTCTTTGGATAAGTTAGTGCATCATCATTAAGGTCAAGTGTTAGCTCAGTAAACACAATTTTCTCTTTTTGGTGCTCTATTAGAGCTGTCAGTGAGTTGGCTTGTAGATTTAAAAAAAAAGGTCAATTACAAATTTTTACTCTTATAGTTACTCTTATAGTTTAATTTAAATTTTATTTTTATTCTTGTTACATCAGTTTGAATAATTTAGTCCCTATATTTTAAGTTCATTTTTTACACCTGAAAATACTGACATGTGTTATAAAATCATTAACTTTAATCTCTAAGTTTTTTATTTCTTAGGTATAAGATAGCGATTAATATGTTAGTAATTAGATTACAACACAGGCAAATGTTTCTCTATAGATTCAAACCTGAAATCTCACTTACCTTGACACCTAAGTACCCTCTGTTGGAAATGGTTATAAAATTCTGGATAAAACCAGAATTTTTTCCTAAGTTCGGTTTATTTTTTAGGTGGGCCCCGAGTGTCGATTTTTTGGGTCAAAGTGGTAACGCGTTCTATACCGCGTTGTGATTCACGTGGTATATTTGGTTGTTCAAAACCATTACCGAGTGAATGGGAAATTGAAGCCAAAGTGTGCTCCATGGAAATGGAGTTTTGGTAGAAATTCCTTAAGGTTGTAAATTGGCTTGACCCACATTGATTTGGTGGGAAGTTTTGAAAGGGTTTATAAGGCTTAGGGTGAGATACTTGGGGTGTGCCCCAAGGGGTACCCAAGTGTTTTAGAGGGAGAGGTTATGGGCAAAATGGGCTAGACCCATTGGACCCAAAAATCACCACACACGCGCGCGCCCGCCGCCGCCGTCCGATCGGTCGGGCGGGCTTGGGCGCGGGTGTGTGGTCTGTGGTTGGGCTTTTAATCTTTTTGGGCCAAAAACATTTGAATTTAATTTTATTTTTTATTAAAATAAAATCCAGAATTCAAAATAAACTGGTTTGGATTTATTGTTCATCCAAACAGGGCCCTTCCCGTTTTCAAACAGAATTAAACTGTTTTGGATTTATTGCTCATCCAAACAGAGCCCTTCCCGTTTCTATCTGTTTGAATAAACAGATTCAAATCTGTTTAAATTTGAATCTAACAGGTTTCATACCTGTTCAATTCAAAACCAAAAGCCACCTTTACATCTATAAATAGACTAGCCTCCAATTTGGATTTTACTAAAATTTTTCGTACTCCATCCTCTGCAAATTATATTCTTCATCTTGCTGCATTTTATTTCCAAGATTTTATGTTATTTGTATATATAATATATATTCAAAATGATTTAATAATTTAAATTATTTTAATATCATTTATATGTATATTTAATATTTTTATATATCTATATATGTATAATTCGGATTTCGGGTAACTCAGGTTGTTTGACTTCTTTGCCCAAACCCATCCAAATTTAATTTGGGCTTCTGAATTTTTACTCAAGCCCGTACCGAATTTGAAAATATCTTGTCCAAGCCTTAAAAAAATTCGGACTGAATTCAGGTTGCTCGGGTTAAGTCCGCCCAAATTGCACCCCTACATAGGATTTTGTCGACCTAACATGTGACTGTCAAACCTAACATCACGTGCACAAGCATCCCAATCTAAACATGCATCGTTATACATCCTGAAAGCTTCTTCACTTTTTATTTTATTATTATTATTTCTTTTTAAGGTTTAATTTCACACTTGTCTTCCTAAGTTATTGTTATTTTTATTTAATTTTTAAATTATCAATTTAAATCAGTTCATATTGTTCAATTAGAGGCAATCCATCCAAATCAATAATGATAAAAATCTAATTCAATGGGTAAAAATATAAATCATACAACTAAACAATCATTTTCTAACTCATAGTATATTAGACAATTTATAGCCTACAACCAAACCCCCATTAAAATAGTGAATAAAAAAATAAGTGTTCAGTTGAATCGTTTAAAATGTTCAAAATTTGAAATGAAACTTTTGTTAATCAAATAGGATCGTAACACTACTGTCTCTAATGGGACTACAATAGCTAAAATTAGAAACTTAAGAGAGCAAATAAATAAAATTAATAATTTAAAAATAGAATATAAAAAACAATGATAATTTAGGAGATAAAAAAAATTAACCCTTTTTTCTTGAAATTCATGTGTCATTATTCTATTTATTTTTCATTATATGGTAAATAATGCAAGCCACTTATACTTTTCCACTTGGATTAACTTTCCTTCAAAATTTATCCCACAAAAAATACGTAATTTTACAAGAATCTTGAAATACTTTTCCATAAATTTTTTTGTGACAAATGAATGATTAAAAGTTAATTTTTCCTTTAACATAAACGCACACGAAATGTTGAATAAATAGAGGAGGCATACAAGTTCATGTTTTGGTCACACTTGCTACTATTTGTGGGATGGACTTAATCTCGTGTTAGGGGCTTTCACATAGTTCATGTGATTTGTTTAATCAAACAAAATACCAATTAATGACTAAACCTCAAAAACCCTAACAAGAGATAGTAATAATAAATACTTCACAAATCTACTTAAAAGAGCATCTTCTTTGGATAAGTTAGTGCATCATCATTAAGGTCAAGTGTTAGCTCAGTAAACACAATTTTCTCTTTTTGGTGCTCTATTAGAGCTGTCAGTGAGTTGGCTTGTAGATTTAAAAAAAAAGGTCAATTACAAATTTTTACTCTTATAGTTACTCTTATAGTTTAATTTAAATTTTATTTTTATTCTTGTTACATCAGTTTGAATAATTTAGTCCCTATATTTTAAGTTCGTTTTTTACACCTGAAAATACTGACATGTGTTATAAAATCATTAACTTTAATCTCTAAGTTTTTTATTTCTTAGTTATAAGATAGCGATTAATATGTTAGTAATTAGATTACAACACAGGCAAATGTTTCTCCATAGATTCAAACCTGAAATCTCACTTACCTTGATACCTAAGTACCCTCTTCATGACTACTTGGGCAATTGCCCGAGGTTCTTCAATCTCTAACTTGAACGGAAGAATCAATTGAAATTATACTTAGGGTTAGTTTGGCATAAACTATAAAAGTCAAAAAGTTAAAAAATTTCTAAAAAAATTAAAAAGTCGATACTATTTGAGAAAAACTTGAGGGGGAAGCTTAGAAGGCAAGATTATTATTTTGCCCTTGCCTAGAGGGCAAAATAAATTCAACAACCCAAAAGTCAAGTCAAAAAGTCAAAAGGGTAGAATAGTCATTTTGCTTTTACTATAATATTTTATTACACATTTTTTTGTAAAAATTCAAAAAGTTATCCCAAATATACATCTTTTTTTCTCTACTTTTTCTATCCAAAAGTCAAAAAGTGCATTTATATAGCACATTCTAAACAACCACTTAAAGTGTAAGAAGTAAATTGTTCGATTTAAAATAATAAAGACTAAAGTAAAATTTTAATAAAATTACAAGAGTTGAAATTGTAATTTAACTTAAAAAATAGTCAAACGGTATAGAGTATGCTAACTGGAATAGGTCATTTAAGCAAGAAGAGAGAGCGAGATTTTAACATTTAGGAAAAATGTTATAGGTTCTAAATTTTCTACCAAATAAATAATCAAATGTCTCACATGAGTATGGGGTCCACAAAATTGTAAACCTCATACTCATATAAGACATTTGTTCATTTATTTAATAAAAAATTTGGTATACCTAACATTACCCAACATTAAATTGGAGCACCTTCAACAAATCTTAGTACACAAAATTGGACCCCAATTTTTGACACAAACTATAACATATTATTGCAAAACAGAACACTACAGCAAAGCAAAGCAAATCAGAAAATGACAAACAAAACCTACAACCTAACTCAGTTGCCCGCCAAAACCACAAGGATTTGAAAGACTAAGAAAAAGTTTGAGATATTGAACTAAATAAAACACATCCAAACACCACTTAGCAGCTAGCTCAGAAGATTCCTTGACAGAGCATCTCCAGCAAGTCCATATCCTTATTATTAACATCAAAGCTCATCTCCTTATCCATTAACTCAGCTGGCATCATCTCCATCTCTATCTCCAACTCTGTTTTATTGCACTCATTGAGCATCGATCCAAAATCATCTTCTTCAACAGCCATTTTCTCATAAAATTGATAATCCACTGCCTTATTCGAATCAGAAGTTGGGTCTTTCTGATCTTTATTGTCTTCTTCCAAGTCGGTATTATCAACGATTCGCAAGTTGGAATCGGATGATGGGCTTTCTTGACCATCAGTGACAGTTGAATCTGAAGGCAAGCTCTTGATGTAGTCCTGCAAGAGACAGCTGTACTGACCTTTACACTTGCTGAATCGCCGCCTTTTTGCTGCATTCCAATGGTTTTTAATGGTATTTTCAGTCCTCCCTGGCATTTCCCTTGCAATGGCTGCCCATTTGTTACCTATTTGTCTATGGACCTCAATTAGCTTCATCTCCTCTTCCTCACTCCATATATCTTTCTACCAATGTAACAAAAAATAAAAATAAAAAACAAATGGTCATACATGTAAAAAATTACAATACAAGTACGACAGCATACGTTAATTTTTTTTATTATTTATAATTTCTTCTAGTATTATATTATATATGATTTCAAAGTACAATTTAAGAATTATATATTAGTTTAAGAGTTAAAAACTAACTTTAGTAAGAAATAAGAAAATATTTTTAAAAAATTATTATTGCATTTTTTCTAACAGTAACAACTTGAATTTTATAATAGTTTGAATATGTGACCTGTACAAAAAGTGCATGATACTTTTCAAAATTAATATAAAATATCAGATATGTATATCGAAGTATCCAATGAATATTAATAGGAAATGACATGAGTATGCTCTCTTTTGAATGTTTCCATTCTCTATCGTTGTACTAAAAATTTGTATTTATTTTTTGGTGCACACATGAGAAAAATGAAAAACTTGATGTTTGATTCCATGAACTATGTGTGAATGTGCATTTGTGTTTTTATGAAAATAATATAAATAAAAATTCTAATAATCTAGTGTGGTGTGTGCATAGAAGAAAAATGATTAATAGAAGTACTAAAAAATGATATTTATTTTTTAGTGCATAAAATGTGTGCACACACGAAAAAAATGAAGGCTTGATTCCACTTCACGAATAATGTGTGAATGCGTATTTTTGTTTTTACGCAGATAATATAAATAAAAATTCCAATAATCTAGCACGTGGCGCATGTGCACATGCATAGAATAGAAAAAAATAGAAGAAATAGAAAATCTTAATGTCTAGCTTTAGATGGTTATGCTAGTAATAGAAACTAAAGAAAAAACTTGATATTTTAGGGCATAGCATGTGTGCAAAATACAAAGAAAAAAGACACTTTATATTTTATGCAAAGTGATATTTGTAGTAGAAGTAGTAGTAGTAATATTAACAATAATAATAATAATAATAATAATAATAATAATAATAATAATAATAATAAAGTATTTACCTTTTAATGCATGGCGCGTGTACACGCATGAGAAGGAGAAGGTTGATGTTCCACTCAATGAACTGTGTATACACGCATTTATGTTTTTATATAGAATATATATAAACAAATAAAAGAGAAGAAATGAAAAACCTTAATGTCTGGCCTTAAATGGTTATGCCATCTCTCCCTACATTGTTTCCCCATTCTCCCATTCAACATCTGAGCAATGTGAGACCATTTTTTTTCTCCATATTCCTTCACTAATTTCACCAATAACCTGCAAATTGAAAATTAAAAAAACAATCATAATTCAAAACACAAAACCAAACAAGAAAATTAAAATACACTACAACAAAAAGCACAAATGGCGACTAAAAAAAAAATTTCGTCGCTGAAAGTAGCACTTTCGGCGACTAAAATGGAATCTTTTGGCGACTAAAACAATTTAGTAGCCAAATGTATAGTTATTGGCGACTAAAAATCAATTTAGTCCTCAATTATATGGGTCTTAGCGACTAAAGGTTTTTTAGTAGCCAAAAGTGACGGTTTTCGGCGACTAAAATAATTTAGTAGCCAAACGTGATGGTTTTGGCGACTAAAAAACAGTTTGGTCGCCGATTATACGTGTTTTGGCGACTAAAAACAGTTTGGTCGCTGCAAGGGAAGCTTTTTGGCTACTAAAAAAAATTTAGTAGCTAAAAACAGGCAATTGGCGATTAAAATTCAGTTTAGTAGCCAAAAGGGGACGTTTTTGGCGACTAAAAACAGGTTTAGTCGCCAAAACTGGTTATTTTTAGGCGGAACTTATTTTTTTAGCGACTAAAAAATAATTAGTAGCCCAAAAATTATAGAATTGGCGACTAAATGTCGCCAAAAGTGGCCTCAATTTTTTTTAATAAATAATTTATTTTTTACATAAATTGTATTAAATAAAAATACTTATTTTTATATATATAGTTTTGTATTAATACCGGTCAATATACTATATAAATAATATATGTTGCATTTATATTCATGTGATATTGTACTGGCATAAAGTGAGAGTGTGTTGCTAAATGTTTAGAATGTAGGAGGTTAGTGGTTGGAAACTTGGCAACAGCAAAGGGAAATTTTTTTTTTCTGAAATATGCTTTTGGCGACTAAAATGTGATGTCGCCAAAAGATTGACTATTGGCGACGAAAAGCTTAGTCGACAAATGTATAAATAAAAAAAACTAATAATTCACTATTGGCGACTAAAAGATTAGTCGCCAAATGTACAATTTTCAAAAATGCAATTGACTATTGGCGACAAAAGCTTTGGTCGCTGAAGACCTGTTTTTTGCCGACTAAAACATTTTTAGTTGCCAATACCTCCGGCGACCATGTATTTGCAACAAAACCGGCGACTAAAATATTTAGTCAGAGAAAGTGAAAAGTCGACTTTTGACAACTAAAAAATGACTTTTGGCGACTAAAAATTTAGTCACCAAAGGTGCTTTTTCTTGTAGTGAGAGAGAGAGAACAAATAATTCCAAACAATTTAAAAGAGAAGAAATACATTCAAAAAATAAAAAAAAGAAAACGAAAATTAAAAAAATGAAGTTCACCTATCCTCCTCCGGAGCCCATTGCTGCATCCTTCTCCTCTTGGATTCAATTTTTTTTCGATTTCCACCTTCCTTTGTTAAGCATGAAACTTCATCTGATAGATTCACATTCGTTGATCCGAATGTTTGATAATTTTTTGGTTGGAAAGTCTGATCTTGATTCAAAGCCTCTAGTAAAATTCTTGGCGGATAGTTCAAGAACCCTACATTTTGACCGCCATGCATGACATGATTTGCACCGTTTGATCCAGAAGGAATCGATGCATTTAAATGAAAACGATTGTTTGAACATCCATTTATCGATGAAGTTTGAAATGGTACGAATGGATCATAAAACGGAGCCAAAACCGCCAAAGATAAATTGGAGGAAGAAGAGCCTTGAATGGGAAATTTATCAAAATTAGGAAAATTTTGATACAACCCATTCGGCGATGAAGATCCGATTAAAAGTCCATTTTCCATTTGTGGTTTGGAGTTTTTTTCCGGGGAAAAACTTTGATAGAAAGTTGGATTTTCATTGAAGTTTGTATCAAACTCCATGCAGCCTGAGAGAGGAGAGAGAGTGTAAGAGTGAAAGCAGCAGAAGAAAGATGGGTTGTTTTTGCTTTGAGTGTTTTGAAAATGGGTTATTTGGGCTTTTTATTGGGAAAAATGCTTGGGCTTCTTTTTTTTTGGATTTTTATAATTATTTTTGAATCTTAATCATTGATATATATGTGCAACTTATTTATATATGTGTGGGATTCATATCATCAATAATTAAGATTCGAAGAGGTCGTCGGTAAAAAATATATATATATATTAACAGTGAAAAGGGGAAGGTGTGGGCCCGATTCATTTGTGGCTGTTGATCAGCGCATCTGATCGGACGGTTGAAATTATAAGTTGAGCCTGAAGGTTAAGCTTCCATTTTCTTAGTACTGTCAAAGGAGAGGTGAAATGTACATAATGATTAGGTTGTTATGAAGTTTTGTCTTTTAGTTACAAATTATCTGACATCTGATGACACGTGGTTTATATGTGTTACGTTTCATGACATGAGTTGTGAAGGTATCACACTCAAAATCAAATATCAACCGTTCGATGGTAATCATGACTAAGATTACATTTCTCCAACGGTGAAGATCTATAGTTAAGTATGATAGAATTATTAGTGTAATAATATTAAAATTAGAGGTGTAAGATAAAATGTATTTGTTTGTATAGTAGTTAGTAGTGTTATGTACAATTATAACAAATTAAGACTTGCTTGGTTTAATTTTGTAGTTATGATTTGATTATATGTTTTGAAAAGGATTTTTGAATTTAAATTTTGAAAAGAATTTTGAATCGTATTTTGAGTTTTAAATTTTTAAATTTTGAGTTGTATTTGAAAATTTTTTAGATTTATTTTTTTAAATATTAAAAAATGTTTAAGAATTTTTTATTTTTTTATTTTAAATATATACTTTTTATTCAAATATTTTTATCTTAAATATTTTATTTTATTTTGTAAATATTTTATTTTTTTTAGTTTTAATACTTTAAACTCAAAACATAACTCCACACTCAAATCGTAACCAAACACATAACTCAAAACTCAATTCAAAAATTATTTTCAAAAGTCATAATCAAATACATAATTCGAAACTTCACACTACTTTCAAAAGTCCACACTCAAATCATAACCAAAGACATAATAAAAAAATTAAAATATTTAAAAATATATTTATGAAATAAAATAAAATATTTAAAATAAAAAAATAATTTTTAAAATTTTTTTAATACTTAAAATGTATTAAATTAAGAAATAAATAATTTTTTAACCAAATATAGTGCACATTAATTAAATTAAAATAAATAGGGCACATTAAATAATTAAATTAAGAAATAAATTTTTAATACAAATGTATGAAATATAGTGCACATTAAAATGAATAAATAAATAAATAAATATTTACCTTAAAAAAATAAAATTAAGAAAAATTTTAAATATCTACAAAAAATAAATCCAAAAAAAATCAAAATACAACTCAAAACTCATAACCAAATAAATTCTCTTTTTAAAACTCATAACTCAAAACACGACTCTATATGCAAATCATAATTTTAAAAATAATTTAAAAAAGCAAAATAAAAAAAATAGTTCTTTAATACAAATGTATGAAATATAGTGCACATTAAAATGAATAAATAAATAAATAAATATTTACCTTAAAAAAATAAAATTAAGAAAAATTTTAAATATCTACAAAAAATAAATCCAAAAAAAATCAAAATACAACTCAAAACTCATAACCAAATAAATTCTTTTTTTAAAACTTATAACTCAAAACACGACTCTATATGCAAATCATAATTTTAAAAATAATTTAAAAAAGCAAAATAAAAAAAATATTTCTTTGAATTTTTTTTTTAATAGAGTTTTTAAAGGAGTTTGGTTTTGAGTTTTGAATTTTGAAAAAAGTTTTGAATTGAATTTTGAGTTGTGTTCTTAGTTATGAGTTTTGAAAATAATTTTTAAACTGAGTTTTGAGTAGTTTTGAGTCGTATGTTTGATTATGAATTTTGAAATTTTTTTATTTGAATCATAATTCCAAAAGAGAACCAAACGCAGGCTAAGATTTTAGAAATAAAGGGATAAATTATAAATATCCCCTTGTGATTTATTTAAAATACGAATTGTCCCTTATAGTTTAAAAAATTACAAAAATATCGTTGTATGAATTTTTTATCTAATAAAATAGGGGTGCTACATACACCAATTAGTGTATCAACATATGTTATGACATTATTACTGACTCCACCCATTATACAAATTAAAAATACCAAAAACATCTAACATTATTTCACATCATCTGTTAGTACGCTAAGTGGTATACCAATTGATACATATGGCATTATTCTTAACAGAATTAATTAAAAAATAAAAATTCTTAATGACTCTCCTATACAATAATAAAATTACCTATAATTCAAATATCATTTAAAACTATTAATTGACTTGATAATTAATTAATAAAAGGAATCATTTTTTATGAAACTACAAACTTCAAGGAGCAGGATGCAATTTCTAGAATCATATAGAACAATTCATAATTTAAGTAAATTTCAAGATGTGTATTTGTAATTTACCCGAGCTAAAATAAAATTTTAAAAACGAAATATCTTTATTGTCAAAAATGTCATTATTATATTTGTAGCGATGAAATTAGACATTTAGTAATGAATTGTCATTGTTTATTTTTTAACTGGATGAATTATTATTCTTGGGACCAAAATTTTTGTCTCAAAAAAATAAATCATTTTGGAATCAAATTATTTTGTCCCTAAAAATGTATTAATTAATGACATTTTCAAAATTTAGTCACTAAAAGTCTTTTGTTTTTTTACTTTTCAAGTCAACCTTTTAGCGACTATTTTCGGAACGACAGAAATTAATCTTCAAATATTTTTTGAAACTAAACTATTCGAGGATAAAAAAATATAGTCTCTAAAATTTTTATGTGTTATAGTGTTAGCTGGATTAAATTTACAAAATTACTAAAACTATTTATCACATACTATCTAAATTTGTTATTTTGTAAAATAGAGAACAAAATAATCTTTTAACCACTAATCCATGGGAATGCTAATTCCACTATGAGTGATTCATGCTCCTATAATATTGTTGGTCTCATATCATTTTGTTACAAACAAACTATGTGGATGTCACAAATTACTAATTTAATCCCCTCCTCAAACACCAATCGAACAAGACCTGGAGCCAAGTTTTTCTTCAACAAATGGCTTGTTTTGAAAAGTAGAAAAAAGTCAATTTATTGACTTATTTAAGTCACATTGTTAGTTATATATTTTGTAAAAGTCAGTTACGATCCGACACGTGGCAGAATAAGGGTATTATTGGAAAATAATTTAAGTCTCCAATCCTGATCGTACACGTGGTGATGATAATTAGTTCTCACATGGTCTGAGCAACATTGGATCAGTAAAGAAACGCAAGGTGACGTGGCTTCAACGGTTACTCATATTCAAATTCAAATACAGGAGGGAAGCCTAACTGCAAATGGTGGCATAATGGAGCTACTTCTACGGCAACATGATCAGCGATCATGGAGGAGCAGTTCGACGGTTCGAAGAGCAGTTCGAAGGTCATCTTTGACAAGTATAAATAGCAGAGAGACCCCCAGGAAAACAGAACTGAGATCATACAAATCAGTCATTTACTTCATATATTTTCTTTTCCAGTCTTTTACATTTCCAGTCTTTAAATACCTGTTCTTTAAATACCTGCACTTTAAATACCCGCACTGCACTTCGATTCATAGGAGTAGCTTCAAGTAGATTCAAGTAGATTGCTGTTGTAAACCTCTCCGAGGCTGAGTTTGGACCATTGTAAGTGTTCATTTTTATGAAATACTTCAATTGTTCTTCATATTACTGTTATTTCTCTTAATTTCTCCTAAGTCAAGCCACCAGTAAAAGTCCTCTTCATTGAGGCTGAAAAGAACTAAAACACAATCGTCTGATAATTGGTTGGCAATCACAATTTCTGTAAGGACTGATTAATCCTTGCTGGCACGCTCACATTTACAAAAATACCCTTCGAAAAGCCAAAAAGCCAACACACATCATCTCTTTATTTTTTTATATATTTTTTGAAAAAGAAATTTAAAAAAAAAATCATTAAATTAACTTTTTTCTTACTTTTCAAAACAAGCCAAAATGTCATGGAAAACAAATTCCCTCATTTTCCTTTTTCTTTCGTATTCTTTAATAATGGTAAATGAATAGCTCATAGTAATTACTACTACTTACCATAAGTGCAATTTTTTATTTTCAAATTCATAACTCATTTTCCTTGTTCTTTCTTATTCACTTGCCTAATTATATTTTTGGATAAGAACATTTAACGAATCAAATTTTCCTAAATTTCAATTCATTTATTATTATTATTATTTGGGTGGTATTGGAGGAAAAGCTCAAATTATTAATTCCATAACAAGTGCAAGAGTTCATACCAATCTGACTTATCCCATTTGTTCAAAAAATCTTACTTAGCCCATTTAATTAGTTCAAATGTGCTGATGAATGCTACTTACCTAATAAACTTATGAATGGAATACCATTTTTGGCAAGCAATTGGGGATAACTTAATACTGGGGTACCTTAAAACATTACCAATAAGACAATTAAGCATATACTTAAAAAGATTAGGTTATAAATAAAAATAAAAAATTACTCAAGACCGGAGAATATTCTAACAGAGTACGCTATATCTGGCCTTGTACAACTCATCAGATATATCAAACTCCCAATAACCTGAGAATATTCTAACTGAGAGACACTCTTACTATTATTCTTGGTCAAATATAGACTCACGTCTACCAATGTCCTAGACACACTTTTATCTTATTTACCAAATTTCTCAAGTATCTTCTCAACATAGTGAGACTAAGAAAGTATAATACCACTAGATGTTC